TGCCTCGTCCCCCTCGGCGATCCTCACTTGGTAGTACCCCGAGCGAAGATCAAGCTTCGTGAACCACTTTGCTTCTCCGAGTTGATCAAACAAGTCGCCAATATTGGGGATTGGCCACTTGTTCTTCACCGTGAGCTTGTTAATAGCTCGATAATCGATGCACATCCACAACGAACCATCCTTCTTCTTCTGGAACAAAACGGGTGTTCCATAGGGTGATTTCGAGGATTGGATGAAGCCAGCATCCAACAACTCCTTGAGTTGCTTCCTCAATTCCTCCAACTCGGGAGGGGCCATGTGATAAGGTGCTCGTGCTGGTGGCGTCGCCCCTTGCTCAAGCTCGATCTTGTGATCGACTTCTCTTCTTGGAGGGAGCTTCTTTGGCAACTCCTTTGGCATCACGTCCACAAACTCCTCCAACACGCCCTCGATGAGAGGTGTTGGCGCCACCGAGCCTCCTTCTTCTTTCGCACGCAAAGTGACAAGGAACGTGGGTTCATTCCTCTTCATTCCCTTCACCAACTGCATGGCCGATAATGCTCTCTTCGGCCCTTCTTCGCGCAACATCTTCACCGCGCAAAATTTGTCTCCCTTGTCAAGGCAAAGAGTGTTGGAACTCATTGCCATCACCGCGCCCTCCTTCTCCATGAAATTGACGCCAAGAATGACCGGATGATCATCCATGGTGATGACGCTGAAGTCGGCAACACCTTCCCATCCTTCGATCTTCAATGGCACGTGCTTAGCAACGCCATGGATGGGTATTGCCTCCGAGTTGACGGTCTTGAGCGATCCTTGCCTCTTCTCGTAAGCGATCCCCAAGCGCTCCGCCTCCTCCACTCGAAGGAAGTTGTCGGTCGCACCTGTGTCAACCAATGCTTTTGACTCGCCTCCCTCGAATTGGGTGATTACAAAGAATCTCCCCTTGCTAACTTCGTTGGCGCCGGAATTCGCCGCGCCTAGTCTCCGCATGGAGCCTATCTTCCCTTCGTCTTCCCTAGCATTCTCCTTGGTCTCCCCTTCTTGTTTCTCCAAGGCTGCTAGCTTGCTCTTCTTTGGGCAATCTCGCACCTTATGTGGGCCGTTGCAAAGGAAACAAGACATGGGTTTGTCAAAGTTACCAGACCTTGCTCCCTTGCTCGAGCCTCCATGTTGGTACGAGCCTCTTCCTTCTTTGAAGTGCTGCCGATGATCTCCTCCCTTGCTCTTCGAGTTCTTTGACTCGCTCGGCCGCTCACTCTTCTTGTACTCCGTGAGAGCCTCTGCCGTTGCTAAGGCAGTAGCAAGATCTTGCACTCCACGCCTCTCGAGCTCCAACTTCGCCCAAGGTTGCAATCCGAAAAGGAAGTTAAACAAAGCCTCCTTATCCGGCAGATCGGGGATCTCGAGTAGCAATTCCGAGAACTCCTTGACATAGTCACGAATTCCGCCGGTGTGGGTGAGTCGTCGAAGCTTTGCACGAGCCTCCATTTCGACATTCTCCGGGTAGAATTGTCTCTTGATTTCCCGACGGAAATCCTCCCATGTGTCCATCGCACATGTGCCTCTCTCTATATCACCTTGCTTCCTTCTCCACCAAACCATGGCCGTGTCGACCAAGTAAAGGGAGGCAGTACGCACCATGACTTCATCATCATTGATGCCCGAAGCCTTGAAATACTGTTCTAGGCTCCAGAGGAAATTCTCTAATTCCCTCGCGTTCCTCGACCCACCGAAGTTCTTTGGCCTTGGAACATCTACTCGTGGTGTAGATTGAGTCGTGGCAGGCCCGTTAGCCACGGCTCTTTTGACGAGATTGAGCTCTCCTCGAAGCTCGTCAAATTCTTCCTTTGCTTCGTCTAGCTGGCCTCGAACTATCTCCCTTAAGGAATCGATGGCGTTGGTGATGATGGTCACAAACTCGTCTCTGAATGCTTCTAACCCCACCTCCAAGCCTGACATTCGAGTGCCCATGCCTTGCATGTCGTCCTTCGAAGTCTGCACTTCTCCGCTGACTTGATCGAATTTCGACTCCATGTCCTCGAACAAGGATGTATGCTTGGCAATCTTCGTCTCTGCTCTCTTGAGCCTCTCCTCGATCGCCACCAAAGGCTCTCGAGTTGATCTATCACGATTCTTCTTGGCATTTGGATCCTTCTTCTCCTCACGACCGCGATGTTCCTCATTGTTGAGAACTTCGCTTCCGGATCCAGCCATCTCCTCGAGGTTCTTTCTCACTTGATGAGCTACGACCTTGGCTCTGATACCACTTGTCACGGACCAACTCTTGGCCGTGCGGCACTTAGCACTCAAGTCTCGTTAGAGCGCTAAGTCAGCCTTGCTCGTATTCACTCAAACTCACAAGTGTTGAAGAAAACTCTATAGATGGAAATCTCTCTATTTCTGGATGAATGAAAAGTGGTGGAGAGGGCTGCCTATATAGGCATCCTCTCCACTAAGTACAATGTACATGGCCGTCATAAATGAACGAACCTAGATAGTCCCCCCATACATGAACTAGCCCCATATATGAATGTAATTAATAAAGGTGCATGAATAAAAGATAGGAAAGGGGGATGCATGTACATTGGTGCATGAATCGGGAGATGCATGCATGTACTTGCGTCGTTCTAGAATGCTCTAGAATCTTCCGCGTAACAGTGGACGACGATGAGGGTAGCTGGAGTGGGATTGGGGAGCCGGGGAATGTATTTTTCTTTTGGAAAAGAAGTCGCGGAAGAGATGGGGAATGAATTTTGTTTTCCAATTTTCCATTTTTTTTTTGTTACTGCAATCATTTTTATTTATTTATTTTTAATTTCTTGTGATAACGAGGTGGAATTTTTAAAAGTTTAAATTTTATTTTTATTTTTTAATTGCCACATCACTTATTTAACGATCAACTCTCAGAGTTGACTGCCACGTCAGCTAAAACTAACGGAGAGCGACCAAATATGAATGGTTGAACTAGTTTGAATGACTACAGATGAAATAAATTAATTTAAGTGACAAAAGTAAACTTTTTATGTGATTCTAGTGACCAAACTTGCAATTTAACCGCTTTTTCTCTATGCAAGATGAGCTAAATGCAGCTACGTCGTTTCTAATTATTTCCTTCATTTCTTCGGCAACAAGCTTCATCTCTTTCTGCACAAACTTGTTGGTGTTGTCTCTTCATGTTTTTTTTTTTTTTTGCGATATATGCTATTTTACAATTGACACCGTTTAAGTGGGCTTATATATTTGGACTCTTGGTCCAAACATACAAGAAACTGGGCCGACCTAAGTTGCTTTCTTTCACTTTTGATCTTCCCAATCCCAAGTGGCTGCTAGCAAGGTTGTCAACCCGCGGGTCGATACGGACCCGGTCGAGTTAGTGGGTCATGGGTTAATGAGTCATCTATTTTAGCCCGGTTTAGCTTGGGAATATGGAAAGAGTCGTTATATTGTATTTATCCTGAATCCAACATAGAAAAAATACAACAATATTTAAACTCCAACACACTTAAATAACATCAACATAAATTCAACACTGTAAAAATCCAACAACACTTAAATTCATCACATAACATCAACTTAAATCCATCATAGTTAAAACAAAATTGAAAGAGGAAAAAAATGGAACAGAACGACACCATAATATTTCTCCTATTCACTGGGTTTCTAGATGATATATTGATAATACGATAGGCTGCCAATTTGGAACTAAGTCCCAAATCCAACTAACCCTTACAACCTTACCAAATATCAATCAAATTGAGTTTGAGTGTTTGACAGAGGGAAGAAGCGATTGGCAAGGAGGAGTCTGAAAGGCCGAGCTGCCAACTGGTGGAAGGGCAAGGCTGAGCTCGAGACGGAGGCAGGGGCGGCAGCTCGAGGTGAAGACTCTCGACGAGACTGAGGCAGAGGCGGAGGCAGAGGGAGATGGCGGCCGAGACTTTGGACGTCGAACAGAGAAGACTCCCTCTGACGACCTAGAGCGCGCCAACGAGAGGGGCAATCGAGCGCCTGCGGGAGGGGGAGAAGAGTTGCGTCTGCTCGAAATAGAAGGAAGGCCGAGAAAGCAGGTAAGGTTTCGGTTTCCAATTTCAAGAGCTCTTCTCTGCTTCTCTCATCAGAAGGACGCCGCCCAACCAGAAACGACAATTCATTTGGAATGACCCGCTGACCTGCCCAAACGGGCTAACCGATCAGGTTTCTCCGGGTTTGATCCGTTTCGTGCTGACAGTAAAAACTAAAAAGGACTATTTTGGCTCGTTTTCATGGCGGGTCGCCTAGACATTCGTATTAGTAATGCAAAGTTGCAAACCGAGATGTGCCCACTGGACAATACACGAATGTCTCTTTCCAATGCTCTCGAAGTTGGAGGTCTGTCTTAGTTATCCCGTGCGGGTGAATATTCCCTTCCTTTGATTATAGCGTATACTAACTCAAGCTGGTCCACTGCCTTTAGAAGGTGCCGCCGGACCACGTGAATTACAGCTAGTAGCTAGTGGGGATAGAACACAGCACATGACCACTGTCCATTGCGGTCTCGATTGTCAAACAAAGCAGGCGAATAATGATATAAAAGCATTTGCCAAATCACAGTGACGATCATCATCAGCCGAGGAACAACGATCACACACTGGAAAATCCAACCATTCAAGACCCATTGGCAATAATATGAATCGAATTAGTATAACAATTGGAATCAAATCGTGGAGATATCCGGACTTAATGGTAGGTAAAACAAAATTAAATAGTATCTACACCAAAACATAGTATACAATTTTACTAATGCACAAACATTATTGGATCGTACCAACCCAATAAGAAAATGAAAACTATGAACATTTGTCCTTCATGCACAAAGATAAAAACAAGATTGTATCACATCAACATGAAGCACAATACATAATTTTAGCGACTCACAAATGTTATTGAATCGTACCAACTCAGTATATTTAAAAAAAAAGAACCAACCCAGTAGAAATCCAAAAACCATGAACATATGTCCTCTATGCACAAAGATCAAACAAACTTTAGCACAAAATTTTATTGAATTCTACCAACCAAATAGAAATCCAAAAACCATGAACATATGTCGTCTATGCACAAAGATAAAACAAACCTTCAATGCATCGACATGAAGCATAGTACACCATTTTAACAATACACAAACATCATCCAATCATACCAACCCAATAAAAGCCAAACACCATGAACATATGTTCTCCATGCAGAAAGATAAACCCAACAAGTAACTGATAACAGGTTTCATTTCTGTAAAGCTACTAAACCAAGCATCACGATATGCACCTAACCCGCATGAGAAACTCTAAACCCTAAAAGTGCCAGAATCCCAGTACTACACAAACTCGCAAAATAAGAAAAGAGTGATAAAAAAAACCCAACCCACCTTAACAAGGCATTCAGGAACCCGGAATAGTAAAAATAACAGAACCAACAAAAATAACCACAACAGACATTGTAGCAAACAGCAAAAACAACACTCCACCCACTTGCCAGCTACAACTCTACGATTCTTCTTGCTTTCTTTAATCAAACATCCGCTACACCTTCCTCGTCCTCTTCATAATCCTCATACCCTTCTTCATCAGCTGTCGCATCCTGGTACTGCTGGTACTCGGACACCAGATCGTTCATGTTGCTCTCAGCCTCGGTGAACTCCATCTCGTCCATGCCTTCCCCAGTGTACCAATGCAAGAAAGCCTTCCTCCTGAACATGGCAGTGAACTGCTCACTCACCCTACGGAACATCTCCTGGATAGATGTTGAGTTGCCGATGAAAGTCGAAGCCATCTTCAGACCCGTGGGAGGGATGTCACAGACAGTGGACTTGACGTTGTTGGGGATCCACTCGACGAAGTAGGAAGAGTTCTTGTTTTGGACGTTGATCATCTGTTCATCAACTTCCTTGGTGCTCATCTTGCCACGGAACATGGCAGAGGCAGTGAGGTACCTCCCGTGGCGTGGATCAGCAGCGCACATCATGTTCTTGGCATCCCACATCTGCTGAGTCAGCTCAGGGACTGTCAGGGCACGGTACTGCTGGGAGCCACGTGATGTGAGGGGAGCGAACCCAACCATGAAGAAGTGGAGGCGAGGGAACGGGATGAGATTGACTGCAAGCTTGCGCAAGTCAGAGTTGAGTTGACCGGGGAAACGAAGGCAGCAGGTGACTCCACTCATGGTGGCAGAGATCAAGTGGTTCAGGTCTCCAACTGAATCAACAAACAGATAAAACCAAGTTAACTAGTCTGTATCCAGCAAAGGAATCAACAATTGAAGCATAATTCAGAGTTGGACCACGAGGCTTACAGCTGGGAGTGGTGAGTTTCAGGGTACGGAAGCAGATGTCATACAGAGCTTCATTATCCAGGACCATGCACTCATCTGCATTCTCAACGAGCTGGTGAACAGAGAGAGTTGCATTGTAGGGTTCAACAACTGTGTCCGACACCTTGGGCGAGGGGAAGACGGAGAATGTGAGCATCATACGGTCAGGATACTCCTCCCTGATCTTGGAGATCAGGAGAGTTCCCATTCCTGAACCAGTTCCACCTCCCAAAGAGTGGCAGACCTGGAAACCTGCATTGAAATATAAACCGCTAGCAAAGTCAGGGACCACAATTCAGCTTCAAGGTCTAAGAAAACGAGCAAGGGAATCCAGTACTAAGAATCATAAATGAGGTATAACCAGACAGATAATCCCAGAAGTACAGCATTCAGTTATAGTCAAGAATTAGAAAGACCAGTATATCACGAGAATTGACCACAGTCAATCTCTATACAATCCCTATGAAATTAATCAAACATCACAAGCTATATTAATAATCGCAGAAGTACAGAATTGACCACTAGACCTAGAAATTCTTCAGTACATGATTCGCAAAAGCGAACATCAGGGGCTCAACAATCAATCAGTGGATCAGGCATACAGAAGCATAAATCGAGACTTTGGAACTTGTCTCTATCAAAAGTGACTGTGATTTCGAGCTGAGAGAAGTGTAAACGAACAGAATTATCTAAATCAAAGTGAAAGCAAGCACGAAATGGAGCTAAACAACCAAGCAAACCCTAATTGAAGGAAAAACAAACAGCCAAACAGCGGAATTCTCCTCGGAAGGAGAGCAAGTTACCTTGCAAGCAGTCACAATTCTCTGCTTCCTTCCTCACGACATCGAGGACAGAATCGATGAGCTCAGCACCTTCGGTGTAGTGTCCCTTGGCCCAGTTGTTGCCGGCGCCGGACTGGCCGAAGACAAAGTTGTCAGGACGGAAAATCTGGCCGTAGGGACCAGATCTGACGCTGTCCATGGTGCCGGGCTCCAGATCCATGAGGACGGCACGGGGCACGAACCTACCACAACTCGCCTCGTTGTAGTAGACATTCACCCGCTCGAGCTGCATATCGGTGTCCCCCTGGTACCTTCCGGTGCTGTCGATGCCATGCTCGGCGCAGACGACCTCCCAGAACTTAGCTCCGATCTGGTTGCCGCACTGGCCGCCCTGGATGTGGAGGATCTCACGCATCTGCGCCGGTGAAACGGAGATCTCGCTGAAGTTTGAGTGAGGGTTAGCGAGAGAGAGAGAGAAGAGAGAGTGTTTGCTGGTTCTGTGAGACGGAGCACTGTGAGTGGAAAATGGTGGAGCGGTAGAAGAAGGCGTTATATAGTAAAAGGGACGGAGAAAGGGGTTAAGTGGGGCCAGGGGATGACGCCGTGACGGCCGTTTGGTTCTTTTCGGGGGAATTTGAATTTTGAAATTCTTTTTTCGGAAATAATTCATCCGCCTTTTCCCCCCTGTTGTGTGAGTGACTGGCTACTCGCTGTGATCAACGGGAGGAAGGGGTTGTTGTCAAGTGGGGAGCTCACTCGCGAGAAGAGGGGACTGGGATCACGCGCGTGATCATCTGGCGAAGTTGAAAAGTTGGGCCGGCGGAGTCGTCAGGGAGACGAGAGATCTCGAGTCGAAACTGAGTTTTTTTTTTCTTCTGAAAGGTAAAGCTGCGATCACGTGATCCTACGACGGGGGCATGTGAGTGGCACAAACTGGAAGCAGCTTTTGCGAGTCAGTGAGAGCAAATTTCTCTTCCTGGTGTTGGCAAATAACTTTTTGGTACCTGAACTTTAATCTTAGTGTAATATTCATGGCTGAAGTTTGTTCTCGCCTTCATCTTAATACTCCTATATTTGCAATTGAACTCAATTCGACTATGTATCAGAGTTACAACATGCACTTTGGAATGGATGGCCATGGCCTAGAGCAGTTTTGGTTAGCACTTTTTTCTTGTTGATGCATGCATTGGCCTAACATAAAGCTCAATGGGTCATCTTATTGAGCTCTCTCAAATGTTCTTGAGGTATTCATCTAATTGAGCTCTCTAAAATGTTCGAGGTACATTATCATTGTACTTAATTTAATTAGTCAAAGATGACAAATTCATCATAGAAGCAATTTAGAATTATTATAAGTTAGTAAAATGAGTGATGAGTCTCTAACAAATAATGTAATAATAGTGTCATTAGTGAATGATCCGATCGATGATAAACACTAGAACTAAACAAACGAATTGAGTTTGAGATACATCATTATATGTCAAGTAAATACGGTGCAATGGTAAGCAGGCACCAAATTTATATAAGTATCACTTTGAAAAATCTAAATATCTGAATTGAATTGGATGGACCATTAAAGCCATTAAACTCATGAGCAGAGCTGCAGAGTTCAAACTGGCTATGAGTCTCTTTGTTTTATAGTGAGAAAACTTGCATTGAATACAATTGATTGCATATTTGACTTCTAACCAAATGATTTGTAAACACGGTTCACACCTCCTATATATTGTCATAAGAGATAATTATCGTATAAGACCGCTTTATTGGATAACTCCCAAATCTCTCCCTGCTTCCTCAGACACGATGGTCACTCTTTCAACTGCCTAGGTACCTCTACTGCACCTGTCTTGGATCTTGGAGTGTACCTTGCCTCGCTTGGTCTTGTTCCAAATCTCGCGCAATCCTTACCTTTTGATGAGCATGTGGTGTCTCGCAAAAGGAGATCGTGATCCTCTTGGCTCGCAGTCATGGATTCTTACTCATGTTCATGGCCCTCCTGTCTCACGATCATGGACCTCTTGAGACTTAGCCCATAACTAGCGATATAATGCTCCACAACCACACACTTCTCACTCGTTCCCATGGCCCCCTCGCAAAACAGCCATGTACCTCTCAGTCATGCCCATTGTCCCTATCACGAGACGACTATAGACCTCGAGATGGCCATGGCCCTCGTAGATTTAGTATTTTTTTTTTTTTGCTTCTTTTGATATGCTTCTCATGGCATGGGCCTCGCGTCCATGGTCCCTATCCTTGATTGCCCATGGCCTCTCTCGCAAGACTTAATGCCTCCATAGTCCCTCTCTCTTAGTGTATTTTTTGATAGACTTGAGGACCATGTTTTATTATTCTTGTGGCATGGTATGACCTCTTACGAAAAGACATTAGAAACAATATTTACGTGGTATCCCTAACGGTTAGTAAGGACTAATTCAGCGGAGAGATGAACCTCTCCAGCTGAAGCTTATATTATTATGTAATTGAGTACACAACTGAATGGGCTTTAGTTCCTTGGACTGCTACGGATCACGATCCAATAATTGGAGTCTCGAGCACATACATGTTCGATAAAACAGATCAGATCTAAATTCTCATTTCTGCTTGAACTACTGAAACTTTTTTTTTACAGTGAGCTACTGAAACTTAAACACTACATGAATGAGCATGTGCTCAACATTAGGGAACGCATTAGCATCTATAGAGCAGTGGCTAGTGATTGAGTATAGAGAAGTATAAGTAAATTATACAGATCGAGTACAAATACAAATATAAAGTTGGGTGATGAATGTACACAATAAATAAAAGTTAAATGAGAAAACTTGAAGCCTCATTTTAAATTTCCTGCATTTAGAGTCAAAGTAGGAAGGATAGATTCGTCTTCACAATCACTTATTATTTTCTTATTTACAGAAAAAAAATACATCAATAAAGAGATTTTAACCATGGTCTGTTCGAACAAAGATAAGAAACATAACCAGTAACAATAAACACATTTGTGCGATCTTTTTCAATTAAAAACATACAGGAAGCTTAAATCTTGAAATTATAGGACTTTTCCACCATGTTTAGCAACCGAAATATCATTGATTCAAATATTGCATATCGAATTGCACTCTTGAATGTGTAGAAGCGATGTAGAATTTTAACATAGACTTAATTGTTATAACTATCATAAAGTAACGATATTTTTAAACACAGAACTTTTGAGTGAATACAGGCACATGTGTCTTTAAGAGAGGGGTAAATATGAAAAAGGTTGAGTGATGTTGGTTTGCCGAACGCGGATGGAAAAGACACTACTAATGTAAACGGGTCCAAATAGTGCCCAAACCCACTAAACGCTCAACCATCATCGTCTCTCCAAACTTCTCATCAGACTCAACAACCGGCTAACCTCCTCTACCTCCATTATTAAGCCAGAGCAATCCTTTGAGGGGTAAATATGGAAATATTGAGTGTTGTTGGTTTGCCCAACGCAAATGGAAAAGGGGCTACTAATGTAAACGAGCCCAAATAGTGTCCGATCCACTAAACACTCAACCATCGGGGTACTTTCGCTACACCTAATATAAGAGTGAAATACTGAAATGGGAAAGGTGCTTCTCCCATTACAAAATCCTTGCATCCTTAGCAAAAGTAGGAAGAGTAGATTCGTCTTCACAGTCATTTATTATTTTCTTATTTACAGGAAAAATACATAAGAGATAGGATTTGAATTGTGATCTCTTTGATAAAAGACAATAAACATAACTAGTTAGACTAAAGAAATTTGTTTAAACCTTTTAAATTAAAAACATACAGGAACCTTAAATCTGAAAAATCATTGGAATTTTCCATCATAGTTAGCTAAACCACTAACTTTCCCCTAAATATTTTTTTGGTATTTGATACTTCTATTTTCATACTTTGATTATTTTAATTCGAGTTTAATAATTAATTCTATTTCAATTTATCTTATAAAAGGAGAATAATTTTAAAATCACAAGCCTAATGTCATTGGTGCAAATATTGCACAGAGAATTGTAGTATCGAATGTGTAGAAGCGATGCAAAATTATTGACATAGAGTTAAAATAATATAACTACCATAAAGCAACAATATTTTTGAACATAGAAGTTTTGAGTGAATATGTGGCACATGTGTCTTTAAGAGAGAGATAAATATGGAAATGTTGAGTGATGTTGGTTTGTTGAATGCGGATTGAAAAGCTGCAACTAATGTAAATAGGTCTAAATGGTGTCCCGACCTACATACTAAACGCTCAACCATCGCCATCTCTCCAAACCTTACCACTGGACTCGACAACCGCCTAACCTCTTCCACCTATATTGTTACGCAAAGCAATTTTCAGAGGGTTAAATATGGAAAGATTGAGTGTTCTTGCTTGGAGAGCTGACTGGTGGGTTATTTAGTTTCTTTGACAGTAATGTCTGATCTCTTAACATCAGTTCATTTGGTTGATTTTCTAGGTTGACTTTTGAGTTGATTAAAGATAAACAGTGTCTCGGGCTCCCGTCTTACTAAAGGCTCAACCATCACCGTCTCTCCAAACCTTTCCATCGGACTCGACAACCGCCTAACCTCCTCCACCTATATTGTTACGCAAAGCAATTTTCGGAGGGATAAATATGTAAAGGTTGAGTTTTCTTACTTGGAGAGCTGACTGATGGGTTATTTAGTTTCTTTGATAATAATGTATGATCTCTTAACATCAGTTCATTTGGTTGATCTTCTAGGTTGACTTTTGGGTTGATTAAAGATAAATAACTATGCTTTTGTTGCTTTTGTTATAATACTCCTTTTCAGTATCATCATTTTTCTGATTTGAAATATTTTGGTGGTTAGTTTCCAGTAAACAAAGACTATTCTGATTAGTGTTAAAGTAGGGAATAGCTTAAATCATACCACTTTTACACAAAATTTATATGCAATACCTGAGATCATTGCCGAATTGAACTTTTCAAGCTATAATGTTGGTATTCAACATATAAAACATATAGTTTCTTTTGAGTGAAATAACATCATGATTGCAGATAAGTTTTTATAATATGATGTTTTGTGATAGTGGTCACTTGCTTCTAGATTTAAAAGTGTGTTTCTAATTACTACAATCTACAAATAATATAATAGCAGGAAGAAAAAAACCCTTCACCCATTTCAAATTTCCTGCTCCAGGAGCATTTGTAGGAGGGCATAATAGGGAGTGTTAATTTTTTTCTCTTTTCTCTATGAAACGGGTCAACTTACCGTACATGTGCGGACTTGAACGGGCCCAGGGATTGTTGCGGCCCACAAAAGCAGAACAGGTTTCAGCCACGACCACATCTGTTTCGTGCCTCCATAGTGATCACCATAACCGAGTCTTGGATTGTTGCGATGCTGGATCTGGACTCCACCCACGCCAGGAATAAATGAAATAATTAGAGAAAGTGAGCTTCATAATTGTTTGCAAAATAATTTCCCCAATCCTTCTTCCGTGTGCTAATCGCCTAATCCCTTCCCTATGAAAAGAAATCCAAGCATACTAAAATGATTCAGTCATGCAAATGAAGAAGGGTGGTA